ATTAAAATAGTCATGTCTCCATCAACCTTAATTGCCTTAAAATAAGGTTCCATGATAGAGTGTCTGAATCACTAAAATTTTACATCCTTTTCACACATTACAATAACATAAATGATGCAAAAAAGTAAGAAACATATACCCACATAACAAAGTGAATGTCTACCTGAAACTAACATGTGGATAACTTTTTGTGCCATTAGAGTCCCTGTTGTTCCAGGTTTGTTTTTTTTACTAACAATGAGCATAAATCCACAATCACTATAGATCTTAAAAACAGGAGCTTCCAAATGCAACATAGCTGGTCTCCAATAAGACCATTAAATTTAGAATGAATAGTCATAAAAATAATAGCAATCATGAACTAAATGAAATTTCCAGCTTAAAGGCAATATGTCTCTAAAATGAGAAGGGGATGTTGCTTTTACTCCATCTGTATCTTTCAACTTCAAAATCATTCAAATTCAAAATACTGTGCATACTGCTATATGTAAGCATTGGAAGAAACTATTGGATAAAACCAAAGCCTTAACTGCCATCCAGCTTCCTTGGCTATCTATAAGCTTCCTAGGAAAACCACAAGTACATTGTGTTAGCAACAGCTGTCTCTTGATATTTTTCCCAGAATTTTCACTGGAAAGGTAAAATCTAATATTGGAAATTATAGATAACCATTCTTATAGTAGGCATTTTAATGTAGATTTGCCACAGAGAAATCAATAACCACTGGTAGACCTTTAATTGAGTTAGCTTTCTAACCCTACAAAAGGAATTTATAACTAATAAGGCTGAATTCTTTGGCTTCACTTTTCAAAAAGGAGAGCACAAAAAAGTAAACTGGCAACATCTTAAAGCAGTTGCATCTTCTCCCAAGGTATCACTGCTCTTTTAAGTTACTGTAGAAAAGTATTACTTTTGCTCTCCTATGGACTCTGAAGTACCTGAGCACTATATGAGTCCCTGATAAATATTATTCATAAAATATTTTATGCTGTTTGATAGATGTTTTCATGAGTGCCTTGTGAATTCATCTAGGCTGTCCAATGGTCTGTAATCTGTCAGCGCTTTCCCCATTCTTTTCTGCATGTTGAAATGCACACTGAGTTTATAAATGTGGGCAGGCTGCCAAGCACCCACTTTTTTATCAGGTGACCATAGGGACACTGCATTGGCTGTAACTTCAAGAAACAGTCGTAACTAGCATTCGTTCAGCCACTCTTAACTTCGAATGGTTGCTAAACAAATGGTAGTTAAGTCAGGACTACCTATATACCAACCTAGAGAGAGTATTCCTCATATCTGATGCCAAAAAATATATTTTTATGGACTCTATGCCTTAGATTGTGCATGCATCCAGAGGAGAAGCTCCTAGAAGCAAATCAGTATGGTAGCCACTAGTTATGTTGGATTTCAGCTCTTATTTGACAATCACCATAATGCCTCTGAAGATTAATGTGAAGGCAAGATTTATTTCTTACCTCAATTGTAACTCAAGACAGTTTCCATAGCTAAGAATGAGGACTTGATATGGCTAAAGCACAAGCCAGGAGCCATCACAGTTTTAGCAATAATAATAATAATAATAATAATAATAATAATAATAATAATAATAATAATAATAATAATAATAATAATAATAATAATAATAATAATAATAAAGTTGGAAGGGACCTTGGAGGTCATCTAGCCCAACCCTCTGCTCAGGCAGGAAACCCTATACCATTTCAGACAAATGGCTGTCCAGTCTCTTCTTAAAAACTTCCAGTGTTGGAGCATTCACCACTTCTGGAGGCAGGTTGTTCCACTGGTTAATTGTTCTAACTGTCAGGAAGTTTCTCCTTAGTTCTAGGTTGCTTCTCTCCTTGATTAGTTTCATCCGTTGCTTCTTGTCCTGCCTCCAGGCGCTTTGGAGAATAGCTTGACTCCCTCTTCTTTATGGCAGCCCCTGAGATATTGGAACACTGCTATCATGTCCCCCCTCGTCCTTCTCTTCATTAAACTAGACATACCCAATTCCAGCAGCCTTTCCTTATATACTTTAGCCTCCAGTCCCCTAATCATCTTTGTTGCTCTTCTCTGTATTCTTTCTAGTGTCTCAACTTCTTTTTTACATCATGGTGACCAAAACTGGATGCAGTATTTCAAGTGTGGCCTTACCAAGGCATTGTAAAGTGGTATTAATACTTCACGTGATCTTGATTCTATCCCTCTGTTAATGCAGCCCAGCACTGTGTTGGCTTTTTTGGCAGCTGCAGCACACTGCTGGCTCATATTTAAGTGATTGTCCAGTAGGACTCCGAGGTCCCTCTCACAATAGCAGATATGATTCCAATACCTGATCCTAGCTAGCAATACTATTTTGAACTACCAGACGGTCTTTAAGATAGATCTTACAGACAACACATTTCATTAAGAAGATTAACTGTTTTACCTTAGCAGTGCAATGAATGGGAATGACATTGGGATTATATTTTGCCAGCAGCTCAGGTGGGATGGAATTATTTTGTGGAAGCTGAAGAAAAGAAACACATTTCAAAAAAGTTTTAACAAATTTCCAAGTTGTTGCTACTAAATAACTCCCATATTCAATATATTTATTTCCCACATATTATATTCTCTATAAGCAGTTGTTTAACTAACAGTTTGGAAGTGAAGCTGTCTTGGGAATGGAAGGAAAGGAAAGGAAAGGAAAGGAAAGGAAAGGAAAGGAAAGGAAAGGGAAAAAAAATCTATGAAGTTGGAGAAAGATACATTGGGATAGATTTTGTATATGTGTGTAATGAACTAATATATGTTTTACAAAGAAATACATTACACTCACATACACATAATCCACAAAGACAAGATGAGAAAAAAGATTAGTGTAATTAATTAGTGAAATTTTTAATTTACACTCAGCAAAACTACAACTTCTGCATTTGCTACTCCCTAATCACTGCTATTCTGTGGCCAAACCTGTCTATCTCTTGTTCTATGCAGGTAGCTCTCACTTCTATCTGAGGAAATTGGGTTAGACAGCTAGGAGGGCTTTTGAAAAAGCAGAAATCAAACGATCAAGACTAAGGATGGTTTTAGCTGAAACATCCAGCAGTTGGACAATGTTGGGCTTTAGGATTTAGTGACCCATGGTTTAGATAGCAGATTTTCTGATGTTTCACTAGTAACTTTGATGGCGTCTTCAGAGGCCAGGTGATCTGTGTGGCCAGTGAAATATCAGGAAACCTGTTATCTAAACCCCAATACTGCCCTACCAATACCAGCTGTGAAAAGTTACACCAATACATTGCTCCCAGCAATATTGATTAAACCTCATTACATCCAACATATTTCTCTAACTTAACAGTGTTTTTTGAGAAATAAAGATACAATCAGCATATTACAGATGGAAGCAGATCTCCAGAACTGGTTTAAATATCTGAGAAAAGATAGGGTTAGGGTTACATATATGTGAAATATATGCTATTGAGAAAAGAAAGAAACCAGAATAGAGAAGTCCAGAGCTGGATTTTAAATTGTTTTCAGTATCCTACTTTAGTGTCTCTTCTATTCTGGATTAGAATTTTAATCACCCCATTTAGAATATCCTGTAGGATATAATAAAAATAATAGACTAAGGCTAAATTTAGATCAAGCCCAGTGTCTTCACATGGCTTTAGAATGAAATAAATTATTCCTTCCTTCTCAAAATAACTGAGTATTAGAATATCTGTTTGCATTACAGCACATATTAAAATTTGTAAAAAAAAAATAAAATATCCCAATAAGACAATAGGTACAGTTATTTCCAGAGGCATTTCACTGCTTTTTTGTTACTAGATTGATCAATGAAAATACTGTATAGAATCATCACCATTTATAAAGAGTTCCAAGTTCTTCAAGGACTGTATTAATTATTGCTTCACTGGATGACCAGTAGATGAACAGTTCTCAGTTAAGAGAGAGAAAGAAGCAAGCTTGTCCAAGCTGAGATACACTATTTTCCTATGAAATCATGTTACCTTCTTTTGTCTCGTATTTATCTCGTAATACTTGCCTGAGGTATGAAACCCAGAACTCTGTTGAGTTTAATGATGACACATGGCTTGCCATCTTGGTAACCATAATTTTGATCTTCTAAGCCAGAGCAATTTCCCAGCCAACTGCGAAAGAACTTGCAAGATTGCAGAGCACCTTGAGAGCCATCAAAAGGTCCTCTTTCTTTGGGAGGAGAAGGATCAGCTGATGGTGTGGATTGGGGAAGAAAGAAGGAGAAGTCAATAATACCTATACACATTTTAGTCAATACCACATTTTTTAAAATTAACATATAATGGCTATTGCCTTAAGATTCAGAGAGTAACAGATTTCCACCTCCATTTTATTTTTAAACAGAATAGAAGTGTAATATGTATTTTACAGCTTTGCATCTCTGTGAACTGGTACAGGATAATTTTTGCCAGTGATTGCATCCCAACACGCACCGATACCAAAGCGTATAATGCTACTGATCATATATTTTTCTCAGTCTGAATATATTTAAAAATGATTGCACATAGAAATAAGCAGCTTGAAGGATATAGGAACCTTGGGGTTTTTTTTTACAAAGAAGCTTCTTCAAGATCACTGTTGGAATATTAGATACACAAGAGACTGCTAGCTTTAAGACCATCAACAAACTTTCAGATTGATCAAACAAAAATAAATTAAAAATAACATCTACTCACTGCCACAATTCTCAAAATCGACTTCTTGCTGAATATTACTTTCATAAGCCTTTAAGAATGTATCAATTAGGTTTACGTATCGCTTGTATGAGCTTGGATCAGAAGGGTTGAAAGAAATCTCCATTTTAAGGGCATGGGGAACAGTTGACAATCCTGGAAGGAAAAGGAAAATAGCTGTTAACCTATAGGAAGAGAAGCCAACTAGTAGGACTTGTGGCAATGAAGCATTTCTAAGAACAGGAGAGAAAGATGAAAACTCTCTTCTATCAACTGATTGATAACCAGCAATCCACAGTGTTTAAATCTATTTGCCTCTCTTCTCCCTGCCTTTTTGTTCCTGGCCACAAAGTCCTGGCACAGAGACTCTGGCCACCCAGCCTGTGATTCAGAAATATGTATCGTATTTCAGGCAAATGTCCTTATATCAAAGGAAATCTTGAAGAGGCACTATACAGGTATTCCTCAACTTACAATAGTTCATTTAGTAAGTGTTCAAAGTTACAACAGTACTGAAAAATATGACTTATGACTGGTTTTCATACTTACAACCTTTGCAGCATCCCCGTGATCATGTTATCAAAATTCAGATGCTTGGCAACTGGTTCATATTTATGACCTTTGCTGTGTCCCAGGATCATGTAATCGCTTTTTGCGACCTTCTGACAAGCAAAGTCCATGGGGAAACCAGATACACTTAACAACCAGTTTATTAACCTATCAACTGCAGTGATTCACTTAACTGTGTGGCACGAAAAGTCATAAAATGGGGCAAAACTCACTTAACAAATGTCCCACTTAACAACAGAAATTTTAGGCTCAATTGTGTTCGTAAGTCGAAGACTACCTGTATTCTGTGCATATGGACTGGATTGCTGTATGTGAAAATGGTACATGTGAACTTTTTTGAATCTTATTTTTTTTAAAACTGAAGTCTATGAATATAGGCAGCTGATATAAACTGCATGTCCTCCCCAGCCCTTTGTGTATGCATCCCAACATCAAATATATCTTCAAATAAAACATCAAGCACAGCAATTAGTAGACTGGGGTTTGAGATGGGGAAAGGAAGCATAATTGAAAGTTATAGAGGAAAATAAACATGGTATATTAATAACAATAAGCACTATCTAATTTGCTGATTCCTACTTACAACCCCCCCATCACTATCCTGTATTGCAATTAATCAGCAAACTCACTCTAGAAAATTCTGCTTTTGTATGCCACCACCCCCACATATATTAAATTTGGGGACAGCTGAAGGCCATGCTGGCTGGGATTCTGCTTGTTAGAAGCTGGCTATGAAGCTCGCCAATGGTGATCACATGACTGCAGGCCAATGAGATGGTTATAAACAACTCCAGTTGCAAAGCACCAAATCTCAATTACATGACTATAGGAATGCTACAACTATCATCACACAAAAACCAGCTGTAAATTTATTTTTTCAGCACCATCATAACTTCAAACAGGACAACTGCTAAACAAGGACTACCTGTATGTGTGAAGAACCAAGCTACAAATACTTTTAAGAGATCATTTGAACTACAACATTGTTTACTGTTATATCATCTACAATATAACTGTAAATAGTGTTGTACAGTAGTTCAAATTATAATCCAGAGCAATAACATTTTAGTTTCCACATATATTTTACAGATTGGAGAAAGGCTAGCATATGACTGATTTCTCAGATTTTCCCCAGTTTCAGATACTCAATTAGTGCCAATAATTTAGTCAACCTGTCAGCCTTTGCTACTATCCAAAGCTTTGTATGGATGATGGGAGAAGTAAACCAATTATGAATTTCAAGTTTCTCAATTTCTTAAGTTTATGACTGTATTGCCCTGTTTCCACATCAGCCTCAGTCACATAACAAACAAAGCATATGCTAATTTTATGTACATTCCCCTCAAGCATTTAGTTTGATATAAAAATGCAAAATATGCACTCTTTTGAATGCTATTTAGCAGAACATAAGCAATAGCAATAGCACTTACTTATATGCCGCTTCACAGTGCTTTACAACCCTCTCTAAGTGGTTTACAGAATCAGCACATTGCCTGCAACAATCTGGATCCTCATTTTACCGACCTTGGAAGGATGGAAGGCTGAGTCAACCTTGAGCTGGTGAGACTCGAACTGCCAAACAGCTGTCAATTGGCAGACAGCAGAATTAGCCTGCAATACTGCATTCTTAACCCACTGGGCCACTACGCACATAAGGTAGAAATAGTACTTATGTGCATAGTGATGCAGTGGTTAGAATGCAGTACTGCAGGCTAATTCTGTTGACTGCCAAAATAGTACTTTACAAGCAGCTTCCAACACTACTGATTTTTTAATTCAATCCTAGGGACTTTCAGTAAAATGATTTAATTTATTACTATAATGACTATTTTCTAATCCTGCTCATATTGTGCAAAAGCCAATGACATCTCAGCTCCCAGCATTTCAGTACACTCAGAGCATAGCTCCCATCCTATCCCAGCCAGGTCTCTGTCTATTCAACAGGCAATGAAAGCTAGTTTGAACTGAAATTCCACATACAGGGAAAAAGGATATCCTGGATACATTTTCTTGTATATTATTTCTCTCTATGTATACCTTTTCTTTTAATGGCTAATTTCTTTGAAAGTATAGGAAGGAACACAGGATGATTTGTGCATTGCTACTGGTATAGTGGCTGAATTACATTTTTGCAAAGGAACTGATTCTGTGTTCCAGTTAGGAGGGCACCTGATGCAACTCAGGGTTTTGCATGCCAAGTACATGCAAACCAGTGACCAATTGAAGCATTGGGATAACTGGAGGGAAGGAGGAAGTTGAAACTAGATGACCTCGTCTTTATACTTGGATTGTTTTGGATGCTGGCCAGATACAAATGTAATATATTGTTTGTCTAGTGCAATCAGTTCACTGGATAGTCTATATTGTCTGGGACTCTCAGCTCCCATTTGGGAAGGGAAAAGCCCCGTGTACCTGGCTCTATTCAGGGATTAATTTATCCTGCTTACTCTTTTCACACTTGTCTTACTCATTCCTCATGGGTTGGACTACAACTCTCATTAGTCCCATGGCTAGAGATTATATTATATATGCAACTGGAAAACCCATGACCCATTGGGTCATCAGTTCAGAGATATTTCCTTACCAGATTTCTTGCCTGCAAAAATGCAGAGCTTCTAATGTACTAGAAACGGTTTTTTTTTAAGAATTCAAGAAGATATTCAGAGATCTATCTGCTTTGAAAGCAGCCCATGTTGAACTGTAGAGCACAGTGAAACATCACCAGTTGACCACAGGAAATATTTTATGACATCTTGTTTTATGTGATAAATTACTTTATGATAATGTTTATGTCATAAAATGTTTTATAAACTTTGCCAAATTTGAATTCCATGAGAGCCATGGGTTATGGATTTTGGATGCATTTTGTAAGATGGCCCATTTGAGGTACCTTGGTTGAAATGTTTTGTTCTATGGTACATCATTTCGCCCAATTAAAGGTTAGAGAAATCAGAGTTTTAATGATAGAGATGGTAGGTAGGTAGGTAGGTAGGTAGGTAGGCAAACAGGCAGGCAGGCAAGCAGGCAGACAGACAGACAGACAGACAAACAGACAAGACAGACATAGATGACAGAGACATAGACAGACATGACATGAGACTAGAGAAGGCTGCTTTATATTCTCCTTTTTCTCAGAATATAATGCAATAAATAAAGATTCAGCCACTTTAGCTAAATTTTTTATTTATTGCATTAAGAAAAAACAAATCAACCCAGGTCAGTGTGTTTCTGTGTACTACTAAAACTGTCATAGTCATGACCTTTACCTGAGTGAAACGGTGCATCACAGGGCAAAATTTTTTGAACCAAGATACTTCAAAGGGGGCTAACCTTACAGAATGTGTCAAAATCCTAGACCGATCACTCCCAAGGAAATGAAATTTGGGAAAGTTTTGCTTGCGTCAGTGCTACTGAAGTACTGGGCCTGCTGCTGTAGTCATGTGATCTTCATTTTCAATGTTTCCCAGCCAGTTTCACAATCCCTCACTTCCTCTGCCACTCAGCAGCAGTCACTTACTTGCCTGCTGGAAAAGGAAGGGCAGAACAGGGAGGAATGAACCCCACAAACTCTTCCCTGCCCATGTCACTCCTATGCACTCCTCTGACTGTGCTACCCCCCCCCGTGCCTTCCCTGACCTTCATGCACTCTCCCCAACCTGTGCCCTCCCCTGTGTGCCTTCCCTAACCAACACAGCACCTCTTACACCCCCCCCCATGCACTCTTTCTAATCTGTGTTCCTCCTGTGCCCCTTCCCTGACCCATGCAGCATCCCTTGAAACCCCCACAACTTTCTCAACCCACACCACAACCCCTTCACTGTCCCCAACCTACGGCCTAATACTATGTAAGAGTGAGCAGCTGTCTTTGATGTAAAGATATTCATTCTGTGATTTATCCATTACAATAAAACTTACATTTTGTTAATAATGAAATATATTTGAACAAATTGAGTGCTTGACAAAATCCTGACTATTAAACATAGAACAGTAAAACCTATGTAATTTATTTGTCTCAGATGATCTTATGCTACTTAGCAACTTAATTCTTCATTTCTTACCTTCTGTAAGTTTGCATTACATGGCTACGGCTACAAAAATAAATAATTCTTGCTTGGCACTGCCAAAGGGCAAACAAGAATAACTCCTTCCAGCAGCCCTACCCTTTTCTGTAATCATACGCCAACAATGCAGTATGGGTATGTGGTCAGAAACAGGATGAGAAAGTTACACTAATGTTGAGAATGATTCAGGAAATAAATATTGTGCCAATAGTTTATTCAAATCAGTGAAAATCAAATGTGTACATTTACGTACAGACATGCATACACTGATTGCTCCAAATTGTAAGGCTATTTCAGAGACAAATTAAAAGCATATTGTTACATATTTCTTATGAGTCTTGCCTGAATCAGTCCCCATATGATTGGAGTTGGCACCTTACACAACAGAGTGTGTAAGGCATACTCTGTGCTTGAAGGTCCAAGTAATTAAAGAAAATTTCTCAGATGGGTTGGCAGCAGACTGGTCCTACTAACAAAAGACTCATTCTTCTATCAGGGTGAGGTATCCCTAGAAGGCTCTAGTCT